TCCCTCAAAAAGAAAATTCCTTGCCAGCCGTCAAACTTACGAAAATCATCTCTCGAAAGAAAAAATATTGAAAATTTCATATTTTCTTGTTTTTTCTTCAGACACCTAGATGGCGCTTCACGTTCAAATTTGGAAACATGCTTGTTCAAGGGATGCTTTATCATCCCTCAAAAGGAAAATTCCTTGCCAGCCGTCAAACTTACGAAAATCATCTCTCGAAAGAAAAAATATTAAAAATTTCATATTTTCTTATTTTTTCTTTAGACACCTAGATGGTGTTTCACGTTCAAATTTGAAAACATGCTTGTTCAAGGGATGCTTTATCATCCCTCAAAAGGAAAATTCCTTGCCAGCCGTCAAACTTACGAAAATCATCTCTCGGAAGAAAAAATATTAAAAATTTCATATTTTCTTATTTTTTCTTCAGACACCTAGATGGTGTTTCACGTTCAAATTTGTAAATATGCTTGTTCAAGGGATGCTTTATCATCCCTCAAAAGGAAAATTCCTTGCCAGCCGTCAAACTTACGAAAATCATCTCTCGAAAGAAAAAATATTAAAAATTTCATATTTTCTTATTTTTTCTTCAGACACCTAGATGGTGTTTCACGTTCAAATTTGAAAACATGCTTGTTCAAGGGATGCTTTATCATCCCTCAAAAAGAAAATTCCTTGCCAGCCGTCAAACTTACGAAAATCATCTCTCGAAAGAAAAAATATTGAAAATTTCATATTTTCTTGTTTTTTCTTCAGACACCTAGATGGCGCTTTACGTTCAAATTTGGAAACATGCTTGTTCAAGGGATGCTTTATCATCCCTCAAAAGGAAAATTCCTTGCCAGCCGTCAAACTTACGAAAATCATCTCTCGAAAGAAAAAATATTAAAAATTTCATATTTTCTTATTTTTTCTTTAGACACCTAGATGGTGTTTCACGTTCAAATTTGAAAACATGCTTGTTCAAGGGATGCTTTATCATCCCTCAAAAGGAAAATTCCTTGCCAGCCGTCAAACTTACGAAAATCATCTCTCGAAAGAAAAAATATTAAAAATTTCATATTTTCTTATTTTTTCTTCAGACACCTAGATGGCGTTTCACGTTAAAATTTGAAAACATGCTTGTTCAAGGGATGCTTTATCATCCCTCAAAAGGAAAATTTCTTGCCAGCCGTCAAACTTACGAAAATCATCTCTCGGAAGAAAAAATATTGAAAATTTCATATTTTCTTATTTTTTTTTCAGACACCTAGATGGTGTTTCACGTTCAAATTTGTAAACGTGCTTGTTCAAGGGATGCTTTATCATCCCTCAAAAGGAAAATTCCTTGCCAGCCGTCAAACTTACGAAAATCATCCCTCGGAAGAAAAAATATTGAACATTTTATATTTTCTTATTTTTTTTCAGACACCTAGATGGCGTTTCACGTTAAAATTTGAAAACATGCTTGTTCAAGGGATGCTTTATCATCCCTCAAAAGGAAAATTCCTTGCCAGCCGTCAAACTTACTAAAATCATCTCTCGAAAGAAAAAATATTAAAAATTTCATATTTTCTTATTTTTTCTTTAGACACCTAGATGGTGTTTCACGTTCAAATTTGAAAACATGCTTGTTCAAGGGATGCTTTATCATCCCTCAAAAGGAAAATTCCTTGCCAGCCGTCAAACTTACGAAAATCATCTCTCGAAAGAAAAAAATATTAAAAATTTCATATTTTCTTATTTTTTCTTCAGACACCTAGATGGCGTTTCACGTTAAAATTTGAAAACATGCTTGTTCAAGGGATGCTTTATCATCCTTCAAAAGGAAAATTCCTTGCCAGCCGTCAAACTTACGAAAATCATCTCTCGAAAGAAAAAATATTAAAAATTTCATATTTTCTTATTTTTTCTTCAGACACCTAGATGGTGTTTCACGTTCAAATTTGAAAACATGCTTGTTCAAGGGATGCTTTATCATCCCTCAAAAGGAAAATTCCTTGCCAGCCGTCAAACTTACGAAAATCATCTCTCGAAAGAAAAAATATTAAAAATTTCATATTTTCTTATTTTTTCTTTAGACACCTAGATGGTGTTTCACGTTCAAATTTGAAAACATGCTTGTTCAAGGGATGCTTTATCATCCCTCAAAAGGAAAATTCCTTGCCAGCCGTCAAACTTACGAAAATCATCTCTCGAAAGAAAAAATATTAAAAATTTCATATTTTCTTATTTTTTCTTCAGACACCTAGATGGTGTTTCACGTTCAAATTTGAAAACATGCTTGTTCAAGGGATGCTTTATCATCCCTCAAAAAGAAAATTCCTTGCCAGCCGTCAAACTTACGAAAATCATCTCTCGAAAGAAAAAATATTGAAAATTTCATATTTTCTTGTTTTTTCTTCAGACACCTAGATGGCGCTTCACGTTCAAATTTGGAAACATGCTTGTTCAAGGGATGCTTTATCATCCCTCAAAAGGAAAATTCCTTGCCAGCCGTCAAACTTACGAAAATCATCTCTCGGAAGAAAAAATATTAAAAATTTCATATTTTCTTATTTTTTCTTCAGACACCTAGATGGTGTTTCACGTTCAAATTTGTAAATATGCTTGTTCAAGGGATGCTTTATCATCCCTCAAAAGGAAAATTCCTTGCCAGCCGTCAAACTTACGAAAATCATCTCTCGAAAGAAAAAATATTAAAAATTTCATATTTTCTTATTTTTTCTTTAGACACCTAGATGGTGTTTCACGTTCAAATTTGAAAACATGCTTGTTCAAGGGATGCTTTATCATCCCTCAAAAGGAAAATTCCTTGCCAGCCGTCAAACTTACGAAAATCATCTCTCGAAAGAAAAAATATTAAAAATTTCATATTTTCTTATTTTTTCTTCAGACACCTAGATGGTGTTTCACGTTCAAATTTGAAAACATGCTTGTTCAAGGGATGCTTTATCATCCCTCAAAAAGAAAATTCCTTGCCAGCCGTCAAACTTACGAAAATCATCTCTCGAAAGAAAAAATATTGAAAATTTCATATTTTCTTGTTTTTTCTTCAGACACCTAGATGGCGCTTCACGTTCAAATTTGGAAACATGCTTGTTCAAGGGATGCTTTATCATCCCTCAAAAGGAAAATTCCTTGCCAGCCGTCAAACTTACGAAAATCATCTCTCGAAAGAAAAAATATTAAAAATTTCATATTTTCTTATTTTTTCTTTAGACACCTAGATGGTGTTTCACGTTCAAATTTGAAAACATGCTTGTTCAAGGGATGCTTTATCATCCCTCAAAAGGAAAATTCCTTGCCAGCCGTCAAACTTACGAAAATCATCTCTCGAAAGAAAAAATATTAAAAATTTCATATTTTCTTATTTTTTCTTCAGACACCTAGATGGCGTTTCACGTTAAAATTTGAAAACATGCTTGTTCAAGGGATGCTTTATCATCCTTCAAAAGGAAAATTCCTTGCCAGCCGTCAAACTTACGAAAATCATCTCTCGAAAGAAAAAATATTAAAAATTTCATATTTTCTTATTTTTTCTTCAGACACCTAGATGGCGTTTCACGTTAAAATTTGAAAACATGCTTGTTCAAGGGATGCTTTATCATCCCTCAAAAGGAAAATTTCTTGCCAGCCGTCAAACTTACGAAAATCATCTCTCGGAAGAAAAAATATTGAAAATTTCATATTTTCTTATTTTTTTTTCAGACACCTAGATGGTGTTTCACGTTCAAATTTGTAAACGTGCTTGTTCAAGGGATGCTTTATCATCCCTCAAAAGGAAAATTCCTTGCCAGCCGTCAAACTTACGAAAATCATCCCTCGGAAGAAAAAATATTGAACATTTTATATTTTCTTATTTTTTTTCAGACACCTAGATGGCGTTTCACGTTAAAATTTGAAAACATGCTTGTTCAAGGGATGCTTTATCATCCCTCAAAAGGAAAATTTCTTGCCAGCCGTCAAACTTACGAAAATCATCTCTCGGAAGAAAAAATATTGAAAATTTCATATTTTCTTATTTTTTTTTCAGACACCTAGATGGTGTTTCACGTTCAAATTTGTAAACGTGCTTGTTCAAGGGATGCTTTATCATCCCTCAAAAGGAAAATTTCTTGCCAGCCGTCAAACTTACGAAAATCATCTCTCGAAAGAAAAAATATTAAAAATTTCATATTTTCTTATTTTTTCTTCAGACACCTAGATGGCGTTTCACGTTAAAATTTGAAAACATGCTTGTTCAAGGGATGCTTTATCATCCTTCAAAAGGAAAATTCCTTGCCAGCCGTCAAACTTACGAAAATCATCTCTCGAAAGAAAAAATATTAAAAATTTCATATTTTCTTATTTTTTCTTCAGACACCTAGATGGCGTTTCACGTTAAAATTTGAAAACATGCTTGTTCAAGGGATGCTTTATCATCCCTCAAAAGGAAAATTTCTTGCCAGCCGTCAAACTTACGAAAATCATCTCTCGGAAGAAAAAATATTGAAAATTTCATATTTTCTTATTTTTTTTTCAGACACCTAGATGGTGTTTCACGTTCAAATTTGTAAACGTGCTTGTTCAAGGGATGCTTTATCATCCCTCAAAAGGAAAATTCCTTGCCAGCCGTCAAACTTACGAAAATCATCCCTCGGAAGAAAAAATATTGAACATTTTATATTTTCTTATTTTTTTTCAGACACCTAGATGGCGTTTCACGTTAAAATTTGAAAACATGCTTGTTCAAGGGATGCTTTATCATCCCTCAAAAGGAAAATTCCTTGCCAGCCGTCAAACTTACGAAAATCATCCCTCGGAAGAAAAAATATTGAAAATTTCAATTAAATATGTATGAATACAGTACACAAGATAAACAGTTTAGGAAGCTCATTTTGATCTCTTGTAAAGCTGAAATTCAACTGAGAATAAAAATCCTATTCTAAGCCCTCCTAGAGTAGTCAATTCTATTTTTTTTTTCTTTTTCCTAATATGTATCCAGTTTTGAAAGGCATTGATAAAATAAAACAAAATATTTTTTAACTGTACACCACACTGCTTATTTTTTCCAAACAAACATTCTCAATTAATTAATAAAAGTATTAAGCAACCATTTCTACAAATTTTCATTTGAAAGCATAATTATTATATATTGGATAATTAATAAATATATTAAAATTCTTATATAATTATAATATCTAGTTAATAAAACTCTGTGACAGAAAACAGTTTTTTTTTAGTACCTAATCAGCACCTCTAAGGTTTTTTTTAATGCTCGGTTTTATAAATAAGAACAAATATTTTCTTAAAACTTTTGTCAATTATTGTATATTGACAATTGAATCCATAAAATCGAGCTTTAGTTAACAAATAAATGTTTTTTAAAATTTTACTTGAAAATTTTTCGAATTTCAAGTAAAACTTCAGGCACTATTATATAGTTTCTAACTTTAAATTTTAATTAGTAAATTTAAACGTCTAAGATTGGCTTAAAAAAAAATCAATGTTTGATTTTGTTTTTGTGATGTATAGAAAAATCACTGGGAACAATTTAAAAAAAAATACTGCACAAAAAGAAAAAGCGGAAGAATATTAAAAATTTTAACGAGGATTACGTTCTTCCGACATAAATTGGTCCAAAACGTTTTGCATGGTTTGCCTGAGCTCGGACTCATTTGGCGACATCATGGAATGATTTACCAGTGTCCTGACTGTCCTGGTAATCCTAAAATAATAATTTTTATAAGGGAATTGTTTTATTTTTTTTTTAATGTACTTACTTGGCTCCAGTAGCTGGATCCATTTCTTCTACGATAGTTTCAGTGTACTGAGGTTCTTGATGGTAAAAATCCTCTAAAAAATTAACAAATAAATTGACTAAAACAAGTTTACAGTGGTCTATAGAGAATGGAAAGCCTTCAAGCATTGGTTAACAAGTTTTTTTGCAAAATGCAAGCATTGTGTTATCAACAAATTCATTCCACATTTTTTTTTCATTCATTTTATTATTTCTAGTAGTTTACCATTAAAAAAAAAAATAAGCGCCTTTTTTGTTTTAGTGCTGCCACATATAGCAACTGTCACACTCTTACTTACTCTAAAGATGTATGTGCAATGTTTTAAAAAGCGTGTCGTGCCGCTGAAAATAAATAACAAGAATATTTAACTTAAAATTATCAACTACAAAACCACAACAAAAATAATGCAAACATAACGCACACAATAATAATTATTATAGAGGAGCAAAAGCAAAACGGTAGCTCGTGACCAAAAAATAATATATGTACCTGATTTTAGTTTTTATTTTTTTACAAATGTGGAAACTAGTTGTAAGTTTCCGACAAAAATGTGACCTGAATAAGAAAAAGTATTAAGTAATGTTAATAACCTTTGTGATCCCATAACCATTAAATAAGCAAATCATAAGATGGGTTTCAATTATGTATGAAAACACTGTTCAAGAAATTTGGTATTTTTAGTTATTCTCTATAAATGGTAGGGTCCAATGTCTTGAATATTGTTCAAAAAGTGGGCTATTGCCACTTGAGCAGCAGGTAGGGAAGACAAGGCAACGTCTTGAACCTCACTACTCCAATAATATACAAAGTCCACAGTCCACATCAAATTTGACTTTTATAGTATTTGAAGCTTGGACTCAGAGACTTTTAATATATTAGCAGTGGCGGCTCGTGACTATTTCAAGTGAGGAGGCTAAAAAATAATGAATTACGGTAAGGTCCTGCGCAGCAGGCAAAATTTGTTTTGAGGTGCCCATGCCCTCAATAATTTATCTCAAATTCAATAAAAACCATGAATACTCGAGAAAATGTTCCCTTTCTTCATGTAAGTATACAGGGTGTCCCACGGTGGATGGCGTTGTTTATGCGGTGTTGCCGTTTCTACTCTAAACCAGTGGCAACATCACTATTTTAAATGGAACACCCTGTATGTGATTGCATATTTGGATTCTACATAAAATTCTGAGCAAATTTCATGTGACATACCCTAAACCTAAGTTCAACTGTTTTGGTAATATTGACAGTTGAAAATTGACTTTTTGCAACTTTGACAGGCTGTAAAACCTGAACGGTTAATTTTAGAGGAATACCGATTTTACATTCCCATCTTAGATTTTCATAAACTATCATTTGACACCAAGTTTGAATTTAATCGGAGATTAAATTTATTTGGAATTTTTAATCATTTATTTATTTTGACGTTTTTGACAAGTATCAAGCCTCACAAGCTTATATGTAACACGAAATTTTAAAATTCCAAGAAAAAAAAAACAAACAGTGACAACGTTATAAAGTGATATAAACTTCTCTTGTCTTGACGTTCTTGACAAACAAAAGTCAAGCGTTACGAGCCTATAAAACAAAATTTTAAAATTCCAAGAAAAAAAAACAAACAGTGGCAACGCTGTAAAATAATATGAACTTCATTTATTTTAACTATTCTGACAAGTATCAAGCTTCACAAGCCTATAATACAAAATTTTAAAATTCCAAGAAAAAAAATAAACAGTGGCAACGCTGTAAAATAATATGGACTTTTGATGTTTTTGACAAGCATCAAGCGTCACAAGCCTACAACGCGAAATTTTAAAATTCTAAGAAAAACACAAACAGTGGCCACGCTGTAAAATAATATAAACTTTTTTTATCTTGACGTTTTTGACAATTAAAAAATTCAAAAATCTAGCGTCACGAGCTTATAAAACGAAATATTAAAATTCTTAGAAAAAAAACAAACAGCGGCAACGCTGTAAAATAATATAAACTTCACTTATTTTGACGTTTTTGAGTAATGAAAAATCAAAAAAACAGGCTCACAAGCCTATAACACGAAATTTTGACATTCCAAGAAAAAACAGAAATAGTGGCAACGTTGTAAAATAATAATGAAGGCGACCGCCTGGGCCCTAAGACGGCCCTGCCTACTTAACCGCCGGTAATAATTAAAATTCGTGTGACTTTTTTGTCCTACTCACTTTATTTTCGTCTCTCTTGTACTTATTGAATTTCTCATATTGCTGTCTCTCTATTATTCCAAGCTCTTCGCGACTCAAATGCCGAGAATAATCAAGGTTTGCCCCACTATCGGATATATCCTACTTTATCTCTGTCTTTTTCTTAATCATTTAGTTTTTTATATCGCTTTCTTTGTCCTACTTTCCTAGTCTAGGCTTTTAATTGGCCAGACAAAAAAATTACATACAAATTCATTTAAACGCCAGGAATAATTAAAATTCATGTCATATTTTTTCTGTTTCCACTTTATTTTCATCTCTCTCTTACTTATTGAATTTGCTATATTGCTGTCTTTTTATTATTAATATTATTCCAATAGTTCTTGACCACTCAAGTGCCGGGAATAATCAAAATTCGTGTGACATTTTTAGTCTCACTATATTTCCGTCTCTTTCTTAGTTATTGAATTTTTTGTATTGCTCTCTCTATTATTTCAAGTTCTTGGCTAATCAAGCGTCGGGAATAATTAAAATTTGGGCAACTATTTGACTTATCTCTGTCTTTTTCATAACCATTGAATTTCTTGAGTCGTTTTCTTTGTTCTACTCTTCTAGTCTAGACTTTTTATTGGCCAAATACAAAAAATACATAAGCTCACTCAAGCGCCGAGAATAATTAAAATTCGTGTCACACTTTTTCATATCCCATTTTATTTCCGTCTCTTTCCTATTTATTGAATTTCTTATAATTTTGTCCCTTTATTATTCCAAGCTCTTGGCCACTCTACACTCAAACGCCGGAAATAATTAAAGTTTGCGTCACTATTTCATGTTTTCTACTTTATCTCTGTCTTTTTCTTAACCGGTAAATTTCCTATGTCGTTTTCCTTGTCTTACTTGTCTATTCTAGGCTTTTTATTGGCCAGACACAAAAATCACATACGAACCAACTTAAACGTCGGGAAGTATCAAAGTTTGTGTCACTATTTAATTTATCCCACTTTATCTCTGTCTTTTTCTTAACTGCTAAGTTTCCTATGTCGTTTTCTTTGTCCTACTTGCTTAGTTTATAGTATTTCTGGTAATGGGAAACAGATGACATCATCTGGGGTGCTAATGGAGATTTGCATTATGTTTAGGTACCCCACATGACGTTCATAAAAGTTATCAGATAACCTGGCTTTTTGTTGACCAAATACAAAAATTTTAATCAGGTATCGAAAATATTCAAATATTGATTTTTAAAACGTCAAATCCAGCCAATCAAGAGCCAGGAATATTTAAAAATTAAAATTTTAAACCGAATCAACAGCCGGGAATTTTCAAAAATTGAATTTTCAAATCAATCAATCAAAAGTTGAGATGATTAAAAGAGTTGAATTTTAAAGCCAATCAAGAACCGAGAATATTCAATAGATCAAGAAAAGACAGTCCTTGAGGACATTATGAATATAACAGAATGCCTTTTGGATTAGTGAATTCACCAGCTACGTGGCAACGATTAATGATGTGTATTCTTTCCAAGTTTATTGGAACACATGGCTATGTATACTTGGATGATATTATAATATTTTCGTCAGGAAATATTGATATACAGGGTGGTGCATTTAACTTGAGACAATCTAATATCTCGAAAACGGTGCTGTGGGAACCTCTTGATAAACTGTCTGTTTGATTTTTAAAGTGAATTAACAAGTGTGTTGAAATTGGCGGTCGTTATTTTGATCAATTATTATAGTTTTTGAAGTATTTTTGGTAACCTTTCTCTACTTTCCACTTTCCAATTTTGTGAGGAGGAAAACAAAAAATTATTCGTTCTTTTTTATCAGCTTGAATTAAAACCAGATCGAAAAATGCTTCAAGTAAAAGTTACTAGTTTTTTTTTTTAGAATAAGATTCTGCAATAAAAAAACAAATACATTTCCATTGAAAAAAAAAAGAGTTGACCTTGAAATAACCTTGAAAACGTTGTCAAAGTCAAAAATCAATGCCGCCATTTTGTTTCCCTCGTGATACCATATAACTTTTATTTGAACTTTTTTTTTCAAAATCGCACCGTTTTCGAGATATTAGACTGTTTCAAGTTAAATGAACCACCCTGTATATATTGAATTTTAAAATGTCGAAACGATCGGTTGAGAAATAGCGGAGCTATAAGCGAAGTAACGTCGTGTCAGATCGCCGAAATTTTTATCTGGCCAAAATCGAAATATCCTTTTTTAATTTTTTTCCGGCCTTAAAATGCGTCATAGCAAGCAGGGTCCCATAAGCTTTTCAACGTTTTTTTTGCTCCTCTATCTGAGGGTTTTTTTTTTTTTTGGAAATTCGGAAAAAAAAAATTTAAAATCAAGAAAGTTGGAGAGGCTAACTTTTTTCCGGTACATCGGACAGAACTGATACTCGTAATATCCACTAAAAATCACATTTTGAATATTTCCATTTGGTTCCAAATTATCCGCTGACCAACAGAATTATAGATTGGGCCCCGTAATTAAAATAACTTTAGCCTTTCGGGCTCGCATATAACTCCGGCCCTTCAGGCTCGCAAATAACTCCGGCCCTTCGGGCCGAAGTTCCCTTCGAGCTCGTATTACTGAGTATCCTAGATTCACAGATTTTTGTCGTCGAGGCGCGGGATTTATCGAAATAATGTTGTCAGATTGTTCTAAATTACATGGAAATATCGAAATTTGGAAAGTGTAATTTGTGAATTATTATTTCAATTAGGTATCAGGAATAAAAAACTGAGATTGAATGTTCAATTTTTTGGAGGAGGCTTAGCCTCTCCTGCCTCTTCTGACGAGCCGCCACTGTATATTAGATGGTTTGTCTCTAGGTTTAGGGTTAAGGTTAATAGTATATGCAACTGGAAACTTTTGAT